CAAACAGAGTGTCAAGTGCTGCTGTGCCACCCCGTAAAAGTTCCCCGTACTTCACTTCAGTGTTATATTTTCTGTCCTCGGGGATCATTGATGCCAACACTATAAAGTGTTGAGAATTGAAGTACCGCCTCAACCGGTGCTAGGGGGGCGTGAGGATGTTGCACTTATTCATTATCCCTCATGTACAACTCAATCAACCGATCTGCAATTCTTATGTTTTATTTTGTTGTGATAATCCTTCCGATGGATCACTTTGTTTCCAAAATTATACAGTATTGTTTGGATGTAAATCATAAATGCACGTTTAAACTAACATGAGGTTGGGTATTGACCCCAACAACCATGTTACATATTTGTTGCTGAACAGAACTTTTTCCTGAATGTGGAGTTAAATACACTAAAAAAAATTAACTAAAGAAAAAAAAAAAAATAATTTATAAATTACATCATATATGAGCATACACAAATGGCTGTTAATTGTGTCATAAATTGCACTATTAAACATTAATGGTTATAAAAATATTTCGAAAGTGAAATTTAAAGGCAGGTGATCTATGCTGTTTTTGCTACATTTCCTTTTTTAATTATCATATGATTATCTATAAGCTAATTATAATAATTGTTTTTCTTTTTTCAGATGTTGTTGGAAATTAAAAAATTAATTCTTGCAGTAGCCACATCCAACCATTTGTTGACTAAGAGATATTGTTGAAGCAGTAGCTACACTTTAAACCTGGAGGAAATAGAGGTATGAGTTAAGATTACTGTTAGGGCAGGCAACCTTGTGAAAAGGGAAAAAGATATTGCAATCTTACTATGCATACAGCACAGCCTTGTTAAATGCGGCTTTTTAAGATATAATAATGTTTTAAAAGAGGGTAAAAATTGTATTCACAAAGTATAGAATAGAAAAAAATTCCAATTTTTTTTTAAATATATAATAAATACTTTTTTTGTTTGATAAAATGTGATTAACTAACATGTCTAATAAAGATTCAACTACCCTGTTTAAACAAGGGTTTTGGGTTTAACCCCAGGGGACCCTCAGAAGTTGATTATGCTTCTCACCGTACTTAATAAAAAGTTCTGACAATGATTAATTTTGTTTTGTTTTTTTTTTTAAAATAAAAATTGATTTTTAGTACAAAATATGTAATTTTTAAGTCTTTTAAAACATTGTCTGAGGACTTCAAAAATTTCGACTTTTTCCTGGAAATATTGCAGAAACCAACATGCATTTAAACTTGTTTTGGGTATTTTTGTTTTTTTTTACGTGCTTTTTCACTTTATGCAAAAATGTTAAATTGTTAACCATTTTTGACTGCAACATTTTTCATTTTTATTTGAAACTTGGTTTGGGTATATTGTGTGCGTTTTTGTTTCTTAGAATTACATTTTTTTTCAGTGAAAATTTGGACTTAAAACCATAGAAATTTAAACAGGGATCAAAACTTGGAAAGGGTCCAAACAATTAAATTTTTTCTACAAAAGTTTTTAATTTTCCAATTTTTTTTTATTTTTATAAAACAAAAATTTTTAAATTAATACCCCCCTATCTGACAAAACTTTGTAATGACAAGGGGCAAAATTCTAAAAAAAGAAAAAATTAAAAAATATAAAATTTAGACAAAATTATAAATTTATATTTGCTTTACATACAAAAAACCCCCTGTTTAGACTGGGGGTTATTCTTAAAACTATATTTTTTATCCCCTTTTTAACTTACAATTTTCAAAAAAAGCATTTAAATAGATGACTTTAAACTATTAAGAATTTAATATCTTTAAAAAACTCTTGTCAAACATGTATCTTTTTTTGCCTGTTTTCACTATATAAAATAACGAATTTTCCCCCTCACTGCATGCAGAAACAATTTCTACCTACGCTCCAAAAGCAGACATTAACTAACACTTTTTATTTGTTGGAAATTTTAAATAGAAATTTTTTCCCACCCTTTTTGAAGGATGGGACCATTCATTTTTTTTCCATTCATGTTGCAGGGTATTTAAAAAGAAAAGTCAAAGCCTTATCACACCAAACCCTCCAAAAGCCTTTTTTTTATTTTTTAAAAATAAATGGGCAAAAAGTTTTTGTTTGGGGCCAGTGCAAGAACCCCTTGAGACAATACCCCATGAAGCATCTTATTTAAAAGCTGATTTTAAGACTAGAAAATCCCCTCTGTTCACAACTCCTTTGGGTTCATGCAACAAAAAATATTTAAACAAGCCTTTCTTAAAAGCGGTGGAATTTTCACTTTTGGAAAAAATTTGGAAAAAAAATAATGAACAAAAAACAACCCAAAATTTTTTAAATTAATTCAACCTTTTTTCAGGGACAATTTTTTTGACTTCTTAACACTTACCTTTTACCATGAAAAAACCTGCTTTTTTTTGCACTTGCAAAATCAAGGGGTGCAGAAATAGCTGTGTGGTAACAAATCAGCTGCATCAGTCCTTTATTTTTCTGCATAGATGTGCAATCCCTCCCATTCCCTAAATCAACATTTAAATCATCTTATGTTGGAACATAGCTGTATATTTTGCTCTATTTTTTAAATTAGCAAATTCAAGTGTCAATATTTCAAAACAGCTAAGACTATGCTTCTTTTTAGGAACTTTTTTAAATCCAGTGATTTATCAAATTATTATTCACTAGCAGAAAAGATTGACTTAATAATGCAGTGTTTAAACACTAATTTATATTTATGACATCAGTATGGTATGCAGACTTGACATTTTTATGTCAAGAAGCATTAAAATGCCATATAATTAAAATTGTTTATTACAGTTAAAGAATATTAGCTGCTATTTGTGTTTGCAAATTTTAATATGCTCTATTTTGGGTACATGCTATGTAGTTAAGTTTAATAATTGATTGATGTCTAAATAAGTTTGTATTTTGTTGAGTTATTACTGTCTAACTTAACACATGCTCACTTCATTAATCATATCAGAATTTTATTAAATTTTTATTTACTGATTCAAGTGTAAGCAGAATTATTACAGAGATCACTAGTTTTCACTGATCAGGCACCTCTTGTTTGTGCGTTAAATTTTTGGGGTGTTTTTTCGAGTCAAAGAAATGATTTTATCAAAATATGTTATAAAGTTGCATTGTTTAACTTTTTAGAGTGCTAAATTACCATTTTTTGTCTAAGCCTTAAGCGCACCACAACAAAACACATATTTATGAACCATCAGATATTATACTGGTTTACTGATAAAAAATAGAGCACTAGTGCACGACTTTTACTCCCCCCCCCCCCTCATAACCATGAAGTGTATATAATTTGTCTGACAGTACTCGGCACATTATTGGGGACATCAACATTGAATGACCGATTTTTGACACTGTCTGAAAAAATACTGTTTGTTTTTTTTCCAACCCAAAATATGATACATATATGTGTGCCAAAACCCTTTTTAAATTACCATTTAACAGGGAGCTAGGCTTTACTTGTTAAAAAAAAAAAAAGTTTATTTTTCTAGAGAGGAAGTTAAATCCATTTAATAATTTTTATTTCCTGAAATTCTACTGATATCCATTTATCGATTTTTTTGTTTTTAATTTCTATCTATTTTTTACTTAATTGTTTGCCAAAATATTATATAACTGTAATCTTTTATGTAATTTTTTTTATACATTCATTTTTAATCCCCTTCTGCATAGAGGGAGGTACAGGAATGGCCTCAGTCTTCTTTCCATGTCCATCCATAACTTTTTTAAACTGGGAAAATTTTTTAAATAACTTGCACAAATGTCAGTATGGAGACGTATGTGCAAGGCGCAATAATCGGTCGCTACCCCTAAGGTCAACAACTTAAAGGTCATAGGTTAAAAAGTCTACCTTTTGTGTCCGTCCCATTAACTTCAACTGATGAAATGTTTTTAACATAACTTGCACAAATGATCACCTTTATATCATGATGGCAAAGCACAACAAAAAGTCACTACCCCTTTTTAAGGCAAGTCACACTTAAAAAAATGTTTAAAGGGCCACTTTTTTTTCCCTAAAAAACTTAAACTGCTGAAAAAATTTTTTAAAAAATGGGACAAATTTCACCATTTAAGAGAGTGCAAAACGAAAATCTCATGCCCCCAAATACAGTAGGTCAAAAATTCTTTTTTATAACTTTTTTGACATGGAAATTTAAATATTTACATAAAAATATCACAACCATGCACCAACAGCCAGGGTTTTTTCATAAAAAGACATGTTGTAAAGATCCAAGAGTACGATTCCTGTCCACTTGCGAAGGATAAGCTTCCTTCAGACGCCTTTTTTAATGTTTGAAAATTCAATATGAAAATGCTCCTTTTTAATTTTGTGATTGTAACACCAGAATTCGGTATATTGCATTGGATTGTAACAATGCCTGACAACGGTACAGTTAAAATAAAGCCCCTGAGTAAATGCTACCTCAGTTGACAGTGTTTTTCCAAAAGTTGTCACTTTACGTCACTCTTCAGCATCAAGTATATTTTAGATACCCAAACAATACTATTATGATAATGTAGGGTCTATCTATTAACATTTATGTGCATAATGAAGAACAATTAGTATTTAAACCTAAATTCAAAAAATTTAAAAAATGTTATATTATGTTTTATTGTGTCATTTGGGGTGGGCTCCACATTTTTTGCGGTTGAGCGTTTTGAAATAAAACATGGAAACAACTATTTAAAACGTGTAAACGTGTTTAAAATCGTTACAGTCCAAAACACGTAGTGTTTTAGACAAAACACAACACGTTTCTAGGAAAACACCCGTGTTGTAGTGACACATTCAGTGTTTTTGTAAACACCCAACATGTTTTTAAAACTGTTACAGATAGGTTTTTCACATATGTTTGGAATCAAAACACTGAGATTTAGAGTGCAGTTGAGCATTTTTGAAAGTACTTTAAGCAGAAAATATTGCATAAATATTTGATATAAAATCTGTATACATTTCATATGAAGTGTTTTAAGTATTAACGCTACGTAAAATGACGTCATACCTGATCAAACGTAGGAGCGTAATAACCGTCCACTTCTAGAACTCTAATCTTCTCGCCGGTGCCGTCATCTAAGTTTTTAATGGGCATCGTCAACTATCTCCAGTAAGTAGAAACAACAATAAAATTATGCTTTACCCTTTTTTAACATATAAGTAGTTTTTTTTTAAATCTTTACAAAATACTCCAGTCTTTTTCTTCATAAATTATAAAACTTCCTTTCATGGCAGATAGTGTTTCTTCCAAGATGCCCCGCCATATCCAAACAACCAAAATGAAACTAAAAACAAAATATATTTAAAAAACTGCATATGGAAAACAAACGCATACCTTCTTATCCCAATACCTTTTAAATCCACTTCTATACTAAATTATCGTAACAATTCAAACATGTTCCACTTTCATATCAAACAAGCATCCATATTGTATCAGTTTTAATCTATTATATATCTAAAGTAAATATAACACATAATCTAACGGAAACTAAACCATCTAAATGTGAGAAGATTAGTTTAGAATCTTAAAGCCAATTCTTCTTTATACTTGTTGCAAATTGTGAAAAATCTATAATCCAGAAAATATCCAGAAAATTAGCTTTGCCGGAGAAAGCTCCGGGGAAATAGAATTAAGATAATTTACTGGATTCAATTTGACAGTTGCGAGAATTCGTGCCTTCATTTTCTAAGATCGACTATAGCAGGATATAAAGATGTATTGAATCAATCGATCTTCATCAGAAACTATTGTGATAGACGCAAACTCTGGGAAACTATTACATCAAGGAAACGTGACACTGAATAAAAAGTACAACAATTAGATTATGTAACCGAAAATAAAAAGTTTGAAAAAAAACCCTTAAAATTTTACAGTTTTTTTTTTATTAATTTCGGTTTATTTTGATACACATAATATTATATGTACATTGGTTTATATAATGTGGCGTCAGTGAAATATTTAGTGTCATATTTCATTGGTACACATAAAATATCAGCATGATATTTAGTGGCATATTTTATTAATAACGTATAATACCATTCTTAGATTTAGAGTTATGTGTCATCGGTACACTTAAAATACCAGCGTCATATTAAGTAGTATTTTCTATTATTTTAATACCTATACGCCATCGTTATATTTACTGTCATGTTTAAATGGTACACCTAAAATACCAACATGAAAGTTAGTGGCATATTTCATTATTTTTATACCTATAATGTCATCGTTAGATTTAGTGTCATATTTCATCGGTACGCCTTAAATACCAGTCTAATATCCAATGAGTGACAGTTTTGATTGGAACAACTTTTATGCCAGAGTAATATTTAGTGTCATAAACATCCCTAAAATAAATAAAATAATATAAAATACTAAAGCTATTGCCTAAAATACCGGTGTAATATTTATAATAGCGTAGTGTTTAGTGTAATTTATAATTGGAACACTTATAATACCAACATCATATTCAGTGTCATATTTTATTGGTACACTCACTCACAAAATCAGTATAATATTTAGTGTTATGTCTCATTGGTACGGGTAATATTTTAATGGAATATTTAACTGGTATTTCTAAAGTAACAGTCTATATTAACTAACATATTTTATTGGCACACCAGTGTGATTTTAGTACCCAGACTAACTTGAATACATAAAATACAACTGTAATATTTAGCGCATGATACTACCTAGCATCATTTTTCAATGTTAGACCTATATTTTGAACTACACCATCAAACAATCTGTCTACTTAAATTAAGCATTTACAAAAGTTCAAGTATGAAGTGCTATTTACGATGCATTTATTAAAACACCATATTCTTCTACTGAACTTTTTTCAAATCATCTTCCAATCGAAAATACTTTGCTATACTTATAAAGTTTAAGAAAATCCCCTTATCTTGTAAGAACACAGCAGTTAAGATGTAAACAAACATTATAGTTTTAGATACAAAGGTACATTTCATTCATTTCAGAGCCTTTGGGAAATGGCGCTGAAAATAAGATGTTTAATAATTATCTACTAACAATTTAAATATGAAATAGTGAAGTTGCATAGATAATGAACAAATGTAGATAACACGATTTGAAATAGACTATAAATTGCAGCGTAAACCGTTGACCTTTTCAAAACTACTAGTACAGCAAACTTAATCTGTAAATCCATCAATTCGCACGCCGATGCAAGTTTCTTGATGTAAAGAACACGTATAACGTTTCAACAAACAAGCAAACTTGTTATCAAATTGGTAAAATTACACGCCGAGTCAATGCGATAAAAAACAAAAACAAATAAACATAATAATTTACCTTTAAGAGAAAATGATGTACTCCTTAATATAATATCGAAACTGTACACTTAACATACACATGAGCATACATACATAAATAAAAATATCTATTTATAAACCGGTAGTATAATACAGCTTTTGCAGGGTCGTAGCTGGTAACTGAAGTATTTGTTCGTAGTTTAAAACTTCTCATGCGTTTTTCACTGGCGTTTAGGAGTTATATGTGTATTTTGGGCAGGAAAGAGGTCACACAATGCATTTTATATTTGTATAGTTTACATAGTTTACCCTCTCAAGTTCGTGTAAGAATTAATGAATATAATTTTTAAAACCTAAAAATGTCATTACTTTATTCAAAGAGTGTATCTGTTTGGCTGTATTCCATAAGCGATATCTGCTAGATATCAGAAATGGAAGTATATCTTCTTATATATATATTGAGTGAAATTTATGATGAAATAAACAACAATTAAGGTGTCACATTTCACACTTTATAACCGGCACTAGTGATGACAGATTGCTGCAGTGATTACAGATATCTAAAATTTACTGATACAGTTAGGCTAAAGCTATGAACTTAATTACTATCCATTGACTCACTGGAGATATAAACAGGTAATTATATTCCTTCCTCAAGCTCAAACTTTCTTTAGCCAGTACTTATCTGTTATCTCTGCAGTAATCTATTATCACTGACGCCGGTGATATAGTGTGATTTTTATCATTTATCGCCAGTCTCACGAGACCTAGAGCAGGTACCTAGCCCATTAGAGCAATCGTACTTTCGCTGCGCAAAATTACGATGGAATGACGCGAAATTATGATGCAACAGCGTGATGAAGAGGTGCACCAGGATGATAGAACGATGCAAAAGCGCGCAATTAAAAACCGCTAAAGGGCGATCGGGCGCCAAAGCAAAAGTACAATTAACTTTTCGGGAAACAGTAGAATTGCCACCGTAATCAGCTCAGTGATCACAAGCTTACCATCATTGACACCGCATGTTTTTCCATTTTATTGTACCTCATGCATGCAAGCTGTGACATAGATTTACATTATGCATAAGATGTGAGGCTGTCGTAATGTAGGGTAAATAAGATCATCATTAATAATAAAAGACTTTATTTAACGAGAGTACTCATTTGAACAACATATCAATATCCAATGAGGCACTAAATAAGCTCTGAATTATCGCAGGGATATTTAAATCGTTTTTTTTTTAAATATTTAAATTGAGTGGTTGAGGTGTGGAAGGTATATTAAACCCCTATATTCAACTTCAACCTTGTTACGCTAGTTCTGGTTTAAATACTTTATAAGCCGCGTTTTTTCATATGCGGAATTCAACACGTTCTGTCACATTGTAAATACGGGTACGCTGAAGATCTTTAGTTATTTTCACCGAAGCAATTTTATACTTTTTGAACGTTTTAAGATTTAATTGCCGTCGGAAAGCTATGTATCCTTCAGCTACGTTTAATATTTCATAAACAGGTTCATTTTATAGACGTAGACCGCATGCGCGAGAAAAAACTGCATCCGGTCGATTTTTTTCATAGCAACGGGCCGCATCGTAAATATGATGATAGTCAGACCGTATTAAATGGAAAAGTTGTATTTCGTTTACTGAGTGGTAACAACATTTTTTAGGATTCAGGTATGAATTCTGGTCCTCCGGGGTCAGTAAATCAATTGATTTGACTGATGAATACCGCGTTAAACCGGTGCAGGGCTGGGGAAATTAGAGATGTTATATTTTCTTTATTGTTTCTCATGAACAGTCACAATGATAATTCACAGTTTTGTTCAATAATGTTTAACCAAAAATATCCCTTAAATTACAGAATACGTTTGTTTGCTGTAAATCCATGCTAATTCTTTCTGCAAGCTTATGACTTTTGTATTAACAAATGTATAGCTTGGTAATCATAATGAATAAAAGAAAGTTTAAAAACCAAACTTGAACCATATAACTAGCGTATTAACGATTTTGTTAAAAATAAAAACACCTTGACCTTATCTTTACCGACGTCACTTTTGAAAACACTGTATTTGCGTCATACAACCCTGTTGGTCCAAATTGCACTATCTGTACCGTGGTCTGTATTGCCAAAAGAAATTTGTTTTTTACAAAATAGATCTATAAGTACAAAAAAAACAACAACAGATAATCAATATCAAATGTATAGCCATTTACTGCTTATTTAAACAAACTATTTAATTTCACTGCGTGTGCTTGTTTGACCGTTTATCAACAACGTTTGTGATACTGGGTGGAGTTTGGACAAGACGTAGAAATGGGCAATATAATATTTATATTATACAATTATTGACTAGTGAGCCATTGAATATGATATGATATTCATCGGCAGATGACATATTGGCCGAGGTGATATCCAAGGTCAAAATGACTTTCTGCTGGTGAATATCACATCATATTCAATGGCATACTAGTCAATAATTGTTTTATTATATGAATAGGCTAAGAATTTTTAAAAAGATCACAGAAAGTACAACCTTATATACATGTACAAAAAAGCTTACCTAGTGTTCCCTTACTTTAGTTTTTTATGCCATTTTTTTTTCTTGGTTGCATAGCAACACATGGGAAACACATGTACAAGAACCATGATGACCAAATCGTCACATTGGTGACGCAGATACTAAGGTGAACAGGATAGCACTTTAAAGTCATCAAACAGCCAAGCTTCATTTACTAAACAACAATCTAATGATAGGCTAAAATAAATGTAAGTATCCTGAATAGGCCGTTCACTGCCTCCATCGAGATAAGCATAACACCCATAACAAAAACAATGAAAATTCATTTTTGATTGTGAGATAAGCATAACCCTCATATTAAAAGAACAATAAAAATCATCTTGATTGCGAATTCTATCATAAAAGTCAACAATATTTGATTATGAAAAAATTGAAAGGGTCACCAGGGCATATCTTCATTTAATATGTAAGTACATGTACAGTGAAATCATTTACTGAATCAAATTAGGATCGCTATAATCATTTCAATGAATTATTGTATTAAACGGTTGAATTCAAATTGTGAACAATTTCCAATCTACATACTATAATTAAGTATGTTTATCTTATAAAAACATCTGACAAGATATATGACAATAATATGCTTAAATGCTTAGCTTATTGCTATATGATTGTTAACACTGGGTCATATAAAAGAGTCAAACAGTTTTAAAATTAAAACTGACTGTTTGTTGCTTATTAAATACATGTAACTTAATCATGTAATCCTTCAAACTTCTTGTACAATCTTTGTGATCAAGATCAGGTGCGACCCGTGCATTCAAGACCGAACAATTTTGTAATTCTTTCTTAAACCTCCTAAGAAACGCACCTACTTTAAGGTGCCGGCTACTGTTAACACTTTCGGGTCCTTTGAGTACAAGAAAATGTATACCAAAAGCTATATTCAAAATTATAACCATCATCAAAAATATCATCACCATCATCATTATCATCAACATCGTCGTCATCATCGGCATCATAATCATTATTAACATCATTAACAATTTTATCACGTCTATCTTCGTAACGCCGCATATAGCTCTTAAATAGAGCTTTCTGTAGAGCATTATCCGTTGCACTGTAACGCATATAGTTCTTTCATTAAATACAAACGAATAAGAATAATGCGCCCAAGTGCTTTATTCACCAGCAACATACATCATTTTTAAAAGTAAAGTCTTGCTTCCACGAATAATGCTCTCTGTCATGAAATTGGTTAAAATAAACAACATCGTCACCAAGGAAATGTTATATAGCATCATCATCATCATCATTTTCACCATCAAAGTCATAACAATTATCGACCCCATTGCCATGATAATCATCATCACCAGGTCCATCATCATCATCAAAATCATCAGCATCAAAATCATTATATTATTATCACCTTTATCCCCATCATTATCAAAATCATAATTTTCAACTCCTGCATTAACATTATCATCAAATATATAATTATCATCAACAATATCATTTTCATCAAAATTATAATCATCATCAAAATTATCATCATCATCATCATCAACATTATCATCGTCATCATAATCATCATTCTATCACGTCTATAATTATTATCACCTCGCTCATCATCACCACTAAAAGCATCATTCCGTCAATCATCACCAAAATCGCCATCATCTCAAACGTTTTCATTATTAAAACCATGATCAGTTCCATCATCATCGTTTTCATCAAAATCATAATAATCATCACCTCAAATATTATCATCACTTATAAAATGAAAAAAAACTGACCCAACATATCTTAGAATTTATTATTTTTGGTTACATGTTTAGTTTTTAGAGTAGGCTTGACCTACGTATTCCTTCTTTGAATTGCACGGAAAGAGATTTTTTGTCATTTTTACGAGTTAAATACACAAGAAAAATCTCCATATCAAACTTAAGGGCCAAATAAAAAGCATTGCACCCTCACCTAGAACTCTCTAATTGTTTTCAACGCCATTAAAATTACCATATTTTATGTGTCAAGGTTCATTAATATAATTATGATCAATGTAAAATTATAATTTCTTAACAATTTGTTGCCTTCGTGTCTAAATTATTTATGTAAATTAGTTAACAACACTTATCTGGGGCATAATATATATATTTTTTCTGTCACAGCATGCATTTATTATAAATAAGATCATTTTCGCGCTTTTCAAGTTGCTTTTCACAATAATTTTTTTGATATTAAATGGTAAGTTATTGCTTTAAACGTATTTTAATTGTTTTTGTATAACGTTGGTGCCAATTTTGAAGCAAGCTCACGCACACTTGTATGAAGTTTTAGTTATTTATTGACCTGAAATATTGCTCAAAAACATCAGTTGAAATATCTGTACTCTTAAACCCGGCACATTCCTTTTCAAACATTTTCCAATATAATTTTGAATTTTTGTATTTGGCTTCTTCCAGTCTGTTAGTTTCTTGCAGTAATCATTTATTATCCAAATCCCTATCGAGACGTGCACGTTTGTGGAGAAGGCATACGGTAAGTAGATGTCAAGACATCTCAAGTACCAGAGATGATTGGTTGACCTTTCGTAACTAACTCGAGAGGATGGCTCTAACAAGAACCG